TTTTTTTTTAATTTATATCTTTAAATCAGCTGCAGAGTTGGGTGGATGGGGTTAACCCCCACTCACAACCATGGGGGGCTTACCCTAAAAGCTAATTGTGCTCCACCTACAACAAGGGGTCCATAATATTTTCTACCTAGTTCTCTTGAGGTTGGACTGCAGAGTGGCATCTATGCAGATGGTGGATGCACTTTTTGTGATGCTAATAAAAATCAAAGGTTGTGTGTTTTACAATGTATCTTAAAAGGACACTTCTAACCATTTTTAGAGTTTGGATTCGTCTCTCTAGTCTTAAATTAGTTACATTACTCTAACTTGCCTTTATTCCAAAGTTGGGTCCATGTCAATGGAGCAACTGCTTATTTTTTTTATTTTATTTTTTATAGCTGATCACAATCTGAACTCTAAGGCTGATACCAATGCTGATTCTATACCTTTACCATGTAAAATAAACTTTCTAAACAAATCTACTGTTAACAGAACGTGTTTGGTTTTTTTGCAAAAATTTTTTTTTTTTTAAAGGTAAAGGCACAAAATATACATGCCAGTCAGAATCTGCCATATTTTCAAGAACCTGTGTGGTGGTGGGTTTTTTATTTTTTTTAATTCTATTTTAGTCCCCTCTCTGCTTCTTACCTGGTGCGGGTATGGCATTCCCTGGTGGCATGAACTCTGCGGTTGGGGCCCAGCACACTCTTACTTGCCTTCCCTTCAGCTCCCCTGTCTAACTCTCGCAGCCTGTGTGCTGTGTGGAGCTTTGCCATTGCAACTCTGACAGCCAAGGGAGCTGCTGGGAAGGTAAGTAGGAGAGCGTGCTGGACCCCCCAGGACACTGATGGCGGCCCTGGTCTCTAATATCAGTATCTTTATTGGCCAGGCTGATCTGTCGATTCCCTCCCATGAAGACTGCCACTAGAGGTGTATCTACCACAAAAAAAAAAATTAACATTGCAAAGCTCCCATTCTATCTTTCTCCATACAGATTTATATACACTGCAATGGTTCACGTTTGGTCAGTGTGTGCCCTCTGTTAAGAAGTGTCTTAATTCTTTTCCTGCTGTTCTAGGTAGCCTGACACTGTCCATGTCTTGATGTCAGCATTTTTATTTCATTGTCTTGTGTGGGTTTTTTTTCACTGAATCTTGTATCCTGTTCTGAATAGGACTCATGTGCACAGTATGACTAGGCAAAGATGAGAACATGCCAAGAAACACTGCTAAAAGTAACTTCCTTTTAAAGGATCTAATACAAATGTATCTTGTAACATTGTATGTCCTGAAATGTAACCTTTTTGTTTTTGTAGAATTAAAATAAATCTACTATATTTGTTATAACACAATCATCGCTGTGATCTCATTGTCTTTGCAATGACTTGAGGTGAGAACTCAAAATATAATATAATGGTTTAAGCTTGATGCTGATATTGTGTGAACTTCATAAGTAATAAAAAAATTCCATTTAGCTCTGTGAACCTACTAAATCTCTCTATTGTGAGATGAATAAACGTAATTCATAGTGTATTAAAACAAAGTTGCAAATATTCAATAACCGTCTATCTTCTCATCCATGCACTTAAAAAAAAAAAAAAAGGTGTGGATTAAAAAAGCTAATCTTGAACATTTCACAGTATCTCCATTTGTTGTCTGACTTTTTTTTTTTTTTTTTTTGAATGCTTCACTTTTTTACTATCCCAATGTGTTCAGGCTCTTGGACTCTTAAGTGCCAATCTGTAGCAGAAGTAACAATCTCGATGCAAACTACAAAAGAGTGGCTAAATTAGTCCGAACAGGGCAAATTTTATTTATTCTATAATGGTAATGTACTGTAGAATATGTTGGAACTAGAACTATTGTAATATTTTTAGTTATTGGCTTAGTTTGTCTGTGACCCTATGATACCACTTTCATTTTATGCACTGTTTAAATTACGTGTGTGCATCATGGATTGGAAAAGATCAGTTCAGCAAACTGTTATTCATGGCGATCGTGTAACTCTTTACAAGATTCTTCAAAGTCTTAAATAAAAATCTGATCCAGTGACTTAAAGCTCACATTAACTGCTGTCTATATAAAAAGACAGGCTTGGATGTTCCATTGCAACAATGCAGATGAATAAGCAAGACCTGCAGACAGCTACTCTAATTTTTGCACAGTTAGGAAAAGGAGTGAGGAGAAACTTTTAGTTTGAGTGCTGCAAATGCAGTAATCTAAATGTATTTTGTCACAAAGGATGAGATGTGATTTAACTATATTTAGTAAGTCTTCACATTAGTGGCATGGGTGTTGAGGAGAGCTCAGGTTTGATATTCTTAGACAGAGTTGAGCTTTAAAGGGTTCGTTCAGCCATTCACTAGATTCGGTTGCAATACCCTATTGAGCATTCTTCCCTATAATAAACTGCAAGAAGCTCCTGGTATCAAACCACCCTCTCATTTCCGATGTCAGCAGGTGCCTTGGAAAGTCCAAACCCAGGCTGCTTTCTGCTGGCTCAGTACATGCACAATCTGAGCCTGGCTGGGGGGAGCAAACATGGAGGGGAAAGTGCTTGCTTGGAACTGTCATTTGCCAGCAGTGTACTCTAACAGGTGTATAATATGCACAAGATTGACATTAAACCACAAGCTACCAAATTCGTGTACAAGGGGTATAACTAGCCTGTGGCACTCAAGCACAAATATCTTTGCAGTTTTTCATACAGGAAAAACTGCACATCCAGACTTCTACCACTAAGACCCCTTCAAATAACTGATGTGGTTCGGTAGCCACAGCTTGCTAATCAATTTCTTGGTTTTAGATTTATCGAATCCTGCTTTTCAGCCTCAACATAATAAAGAACTATTTGTGGGACCGATTGAACTCCGGGACGGAGGCAATTGTACAAGTTCTGATTAAAATAAAAACTGGTATTTGCACTATGTCTGTTCAACCGTAATTCACCTCTCATATTACGTGCACCCATGCTTACTATATATCATTTTGTTTAGGAGAAACAGGCCTTTCCATTCATATCAAGTTATTCAATATAAAAAATTTAATGTGGGAAACTAAGATTTTTGTTTTTAGTTCTGCTTTGCACTTTAAAGGAACCCAATAGCGTTAGGAATACAAATATGTATTCTTAACGCTAGAGTCCTAGTCACCTAAACGGTGACTAGGGCTCTGTTCCGCCGCAAATAAATGGTTAACCATTGATTTGCTTACCTTAATCCAGTGCCGGGCTTCTTCAGCACTGGTGACTCCCATCGATGTCAGCTGCCGAGTGGAGACGCATGCGCGGCCAGAAGCACGCGCGTTGAAACCCGCCCTAGGAAAGCATTACGCGATGCTTTACTATGGGGATTCTTTTGATGCTGGAGGTCCGTGAGGATGTCCAAAGTCAAGTGCGATTTACTTTGTAAATCATGGAAGCACCTCTTGTATCTGTCAGGGAGACTGCCACTAGACACTGGCTTAACCCTGCAGTGTAAACATAGCCATTTATTTGAAATTGCTATGTTTTCAGCTGCTGGATTAAAACTAGGGGCACCCAGACCACTTAATTGAGCCGGGTTCCTTTAGTGGTCCTTTAACTGTGAATGTCATTATACTGTTTACTTTTACGGCAATAAAATACACATTTGTATTAAGCGATAACTAACGAGTACAAGATTACCCACCACGAACAGGTTTTATGGTGTTTTGGAAAGTCACAGCGTCAAACATGGCACATTCAATTTTTCAGTTTATTCACATTGAAATTTGCCAGATTAATAATGTTTCGTTTGAGAGGGTATGGTAGCCCAGGAATGAAAATTACCCCCATGATGGCATACCATTTGCAAACCCACAGTATTCAATATGGGGAATGTCCAGTCTTTTTTAGTAGTCAAAGTTAGCTTTCATAATTGTTTTTGTGTGAAAAATGCAAAAAAAAAACATTATGAACGCTAACTTTGTCCAGTGTTTGACTAAGTGGCTACTTAAGACTGGACATAACACACTTGAAATACCTTGGGTTATCAAATTTTGCACATGGTATGCCGTCATGGGGTTAATTCAAATTCCTGGGCTACCATATGCTCTTAACCCCTTAAGGACAGAGCTTCAGAAGCTTGTCTTTCATTTAATGACAACAGCATTTTTTTGCTGTTTGCGTTCAACTGCAATTTGCATTTTACTAATTTATTGCACCGACACAGATTATATATTGTTTTTTAAAGGACATAAAGGGCTTTAATTTAATGTGATATAGATAGATATATATGCTTATTTATTAAAATAAATGAAATTTTGGGGGTTTTTAAAAATTTTTTTTACAGTTTTTACAATAATAATGTGTGCATAATTAGTGCAGGTTAAGGAAAGTAATTAAAACGTCATTTAGTTGTTCTGATTTACAGAATATATAATGTGTCTGGGATTTTAAGGTTTTTGTGGTAGTTACAGGTCACAAAGCACAAGGAGTAGAATAAACATTTAAAATGGAGCGAATTTTGAATTTGGTATGTTTGTCTTGTAAGCTTAATAGCCATAAAAGAAAACGAAATTGCCACACATAAGTATATAGTTATATAAAGTAGACATCACAGGCTATTTACTTAGGGTTGTTTTGACACTTTCTACGTACCCATTTCACCGCCAACCTCTGCTTGGCACACAAACTTATAACAAAGAAATTCTCATGTGTATTTTATAAAGTTGGTGTGTGCTATTTCTGTACAAAGTTTTATTTTGTGTTCAGTTAAATCTGCTGACACCCGTATTGTATGTCTTTGGCACTATTTCGTCAAGCTACAGTGCCATATAGGAGACCTGTCCTTTTCAGTATTCACAGTAGAATTTTGAGAGATGGATTTAATGAGCCAATGCGTTCATTTGGGGTATTATACCAGTTTAACAGTTCGAAAAAACCCCACAAAGGCCTACTATTTGTAAAAGTAGACACTCCAGGGTATCTCATAAGGTGCATATTGTGCCTTAACATGCCCCCATTTTTTCACCAATATATGCTAAAGTATGTGATAAAAATGTTTGTTTTTTACGTATGGATTGCATTTTTGCTGGGCATTTTGTATATTTCACATGTGCCACTAAGTTCAAACCCCCCAAATTATGCTCGGCTAAGTCTTCTGAGGAAAGACACCCCCAATGAATGTCTTTGGCACTATTTCGTGAAGCTACAGTGCCATATAGGAGACCAAGCCATATCCGTTTTTACAGAACTTTGAATTTTGACGCTGGGCCTATGTGCAATTTCTAAGCATCTTAGCAGGGTTTAAATTAAAACTACCCCACAAAGGCCTACCATTTCTTAAAGTAGACACCCCCGGATATTTCAAAAGGTATATTTTGAACTTTAGCATGGGATCATTTTTCTGCTAGCTTGTACCAAGTATAGTGGTAATAAGCATTTTTTATGCTTTTTTGACACACAGTGAGTTTGCACAGTATATTTTGCAAACCTTATGTGTGCTACGACTGTATAATACTTAATATGTTGCTCAGCTATGTCGGCTGAGTACAGCAATACCACCGTATGTACCTTTGCCAGGTATATGTGGATGTTGAAGGGGCGCATTTGAGACGCAGCCGTTCAGTTTATTTCTAACTTTGAAGTTTTACGCTGTGTCCATGTTCCAATTTGGAGTAGTTTAGATGGTTGGTTATTGAAACTTCCCCACAAACTATTTATTAAAGAATACACCCTGGGGTAGTTCAAAAGGCATATTTTGAACCTTAGCGTGGGATTATTTTTTTTTCTCTAGTTTGTTCCAGGCGTAGTGGTAATGAGCGTTTTTTTTAAATGAATTTTTTTACTTTTAAAAACTAGCTTTTAAACTTTTGTTTTGCTTATTAATTTTTTTAAAACTTTACTAAACTTAAAACTTTTTTTACAGATTGAAAATTTTTCTAAGCATTTTTTTACCGTTGACCCCTAAGTAGCAGTAAGCAGCACTAACCGTAAATTCCCCATTTTCCCATAACTCCCACTCACCACCGCTAGCAAAATATATAATTATAAAATATTTTAATTAAATAAATTAAAAAATAAATAAAAGTTAATCCTCAGGGGTTATAAAAAATTAGATCTGTATTTTGATCACTGTAGGCAGTGGTCGACTGGCAGGGAAGGGGATAATTTTTATTTGGACTGGGTAAAGGGGGGTGTTTTTTTTTTTATTTTTTACTTAAACGTTATTACAGCTTTTTTTATAGCTTAATTTTTAACTTTTTAAAGTTTATTTTAAAACTTTTTTTAACATTAACCCCTAGTTAGCCTAACACCAAATTCCCCACTAACTTCCACCCACCTCAGCTAGCTAAATATACCATTTTAAAATATTTAAAATTAATGAAT